GGCGCTGGCAAAGAGGCGTATATAATCGTGGATTATAAGATGAAACGATATTTTCTCAGACATATCAAAAGGTGAAGAAGGGTAAATAATCTACGATCATTTACGGTCTGCCGAACAGGCTACGTGAGTGTCGTAGATTAGGAGAGTACGGGCACGGCTAGATCGCGAAGCCGCCCCCAATGGGCGCAGATGAGGAAGAGGCGCAGGCCGCATCGGCACCCGGTCGCAGCCTCGACCAAAGGTGCACGTGATCGGGTCACTAGCCCGTTATGCGGCTCATGCCTGTGGTGCGTACCGGCTTCATGCTCTTGGTACTCCACCTTTCGACACTCTTCGGTTATTGTACCGTGAATCAGTGTCATGTACTAGGCTTAGCTGGGCTGCAGCAAAGCGAATGCATGGGCTGGCAAAGAGGCTCTTGGCCCAAGTCAACTGAAAGGGGCCAACCAGACTACAAAGGTGAAGAAGGGAAGACATCGGAGGCCATGCAACAGAACCCGAACGTACTCGTCGTCTTCCTCCTTCCGTCCAGGACTCGACCTCCCTTGCTGATCTTGTTTCCCTGCCTCTGATCCTTCCTGTTCCCAGTCTAGATTCCCTCTATTCTTCCCAAATTATATTCCAAACTTTTGTAATTGCTATTCAGTAGTGGAGGATCGTTGTATTCCGTGAAGCTCCAATAAAAAGTTAAACCGGCGGTAGTTTTCCCTTGTCACGCTCATCATGCTCTGCCCCCACATACAGTACTCTCTGCTAAATATGCCTGGTTTAGTTCCTCTCCCTAAATTTTAGTCCATAACACATTATATGTTTAGACATATGTATGGAGTACTAAATATAGACTAAAAAAATAACTAATTGCACAGATTGCGATTACTTTGCGAGACGATTTTTAAGCCTAATTATTCCATGATTTGACAATGTGGTGCTACAGTAAAGTTACAGTAGGCATGTGCTAATGACGGATTAATTAGACTTAATAAATTCGTCTCGCGGATTCCTGAGAACTTCTGTAATTTATTTTATTATTACTATCCGAATCCTCTCATGTAATACCCTCATATGACATCCGATATGACATCCTAAACTTTAGCCTATCGATTTAAACACCACCTTAATCACGATTGCTTTGCAGCTCTGTGCTGGACTGTGCACTTGATCATCGCCCGGCAGACTATTGTGCTGCCCTGGCTCTACGGAACAAAATTTTTATTTTCTTTATATTTTGAATCATCAATGCAAGTGTTGCGGAGTTGTGGTTGACAGTTGAATCAACAATACTCGTTTCAAAAATCATCTAAAAAACAGTTGAATCAACAATGGCGCGTGGTACAGCGTACTAGTGCTAGGCATCACACATGACACACCACCATGCGGCAAGTGCGAAAAAGGAGGGCCCGTAATTTTTACCTGGAGTTCCGTGCTCCTCGTCCTTTGTTTACGCCTCCCTATATGCGGCTTTTACCCTGGCCTGGCCTCCGTTGTCGCGCGGAAACATGCGAGCATCAATCAGCAGCAAAGTCGCAACATCCCAGGTAACCTGCCCGCCTTGTCGCGATTCCAGAGTTGCACGGCCGCATCGCAGCGGAGCTGCGGAGGACACAGGACAGCACGGGATTCAAATCAGAATTAGCGCTAAAATTGGGTTGCCTACTCAACTCGCACTCTCAACTCTCAAGTCACATCCGTATGTGCATTTTTTGTTTTTTCACAAATGCAAAAAGATTGGGAGTTGGGATAAGAACTTTTAGAGAGATTCTTTTGTAACTTTGAAAAAAAAACTAAGATTAAGAGTGGGTTTTTGAAAACTTTCGAAGATGCTCTTGCTGGTGTGTACTGTAGACTTGAAATGCAGGATGCAGCCCCACAGCAAGGTGGTGTTTGGTTGCCCTAATAAATTTTAGTTGATGTTTCATTGAATGTTTGACACATAAATGAAGTATTAAATATAGACTAATTACAAAACTAATTGCATAGTTTACGACTAATTTGTGAGACAAATCTTTTAAGCCTAATTAGTCCATGATTTGATAATGTGGTGCTACAGTAAACATGTGTTAATGGCGAATTAATTATACTTAAAAAATTCGTCTCGTGGAGTACCGACGAATTATGTAATTTATTTTTTTATTATTATTCGAACACTTTATGCAATATCCTTCCGACGTATTTCCTAAATTTTAGTCACGGGCAAACACCACCTAAATTAGGGCGCGTTTAGTTCGGCAATGAACGATTCTCCACTGTAGCATTTCGTTTGTATTTGTGAATCATTATCCAAACATTGACTAATTAGGCTCAAAAGATTCGTCTCGCAAAGTTAAAGTAAACTGTGCAATTAGTTTTTGATTTCATCTACATTTAGTACTCTATGCATGTACCACATGTTTAATGTGATGGAGAATTTTTTTTTTATAAAGTACACTTTTGGAGAACTAATCAAGGCTTAGATGAGATAACCTTTGCTCGAGCGGGCCCTTGGCCGTTTCGGCGCCATGATTTGGTTTGACGGGATGGGGACTCATGCATGAATCATGGATGGACATGGACCCTGCTGCCGGCCAGCCGCTGCGTCGCGGTCCCGTCAGCGCCTGTCGGCGGCTGGCTCGACGTGGGTGCAACGCACGGGAGCAGCGTGACGGCTGACGGGGAGGGTGGGGGACCGTGCGGTTGCGCGACACCGGTGGGTGGGTGGCGAGGCCCGTCCGTCGCTCGTCAGGTCACATGGCTGGACCGGACCAGACGGATCGGACCCCTGGCCCGCTCGCGGCGCCGCTCCATCGTAGCCGTCGACGCGCGAGATGGACCTGGTGGGACCCAGGAGTCCGTCCGTCGCCATCATCGCGCACTCCCGTCGCGCTCGCGCTCGCGCTCGAGCCCAAGCCCCTCTCGGCCCTCCGCCTCCTCCGCCCAAATTATGTTGATCGAATTTTGTGAGCCATTATAAAAGATCGTACCCCTCTGTGCCTTTTTGTTGGTCGCTCGGGTGCCTGTGAGAGAAATACGTTTCCCAACCGACCCTTAATAAGGGATAGAGTAGTAATTTCTTATGAAAAAGTTTGGCGAACTTTAACGTTACTGTCCCAATCTTTTTTTTTCCTCTCAATGTCATTGCCATCAGATTAGGTTCTAATGATGTCAACTGGAGATGTGAAAAGTCAAAAATACCATTAAATCTAAATATGTCATTAATTTTTTTTGAGGATCTTAACGACTTCAAATGAAAAAACTCAAAATTAAAAAGTTGTAGATCTCATCGAGATCTATAATTTTCATATAAAAATTATCTTCATTTAATTCGGAAAAAAGATATGATTTGATATGATTAATATATTTTAGAAAAATCATATCTTTTTACGGTATTAAATAAATATAATTTGTATATGAAAATTATAGATCTCGACGAGATTTACAACTTTCTAGTTTTGAGTTTTTCTATTTGAAGTAGTTAAGATACTAAAAAAATTAATAATATATTAAGACCTAATAGTATTTTCGACTTTTCATACCTGAAGTTTGACACCGTTAGAGTCTAATCTGACAACAGTAGTATTGAGGAAAAAAAAGTTTGATCTGTGACCACTTATGTTGATTTATACCGCTAATTTGTTAGGAGAAAAAAATACTATACCGTTACCCGTAACCGGATTATAATAGCAGCCGATCGGAGCCGAAGTCCGCTTGCGATTTTTTTTTTAATGCTCACAAGGAATTCCCTCAATGTTCCCCAAACCGCACGCGCGCGCGCGACTCCCCGCCGCTGTCGTCGTCGTGTTCGCGGAGGAGATCCGCCGGGGTCGGCGCCAATCTACCTCCTCCCAGCTCTCCTCCTCAGAACCCACGGCCCGCTGCTGCCCCTCCGCGCGCCCCCTCGCCAAACCCTAGCTTGCCCGCCCCCCACTGCCCCGGCGGCGCCACCACCGCTCCGTACCGACCACCGAGCACGTACGCTGCCCGGGCAAGCGGCGCCGACCGCCGCCATTGCCGTACGGCGGCGTCCCGCCACGTTGGAATGCGCTGGTAAGGTGCCATTTCGCTGTCCAGAGTTCAGATTGTTAGCTGAGGTTCAGGTTGCGGCCGGGATTTTCAAATCTCCAGCTTGAAACCCCTCTCCAGCTATCCGATTAGGAGCTCCTTTTCGTAGCTGCAAGTTCCAGCCCCTCGCTCAAGGCTTTCGAAATTTCAAGCTGCGAGTTCAAATTTCAGTTCATACTCTTGATCTATTCGAACTCTAGATGCAATTTGAAATTGAGGAAAGGAGAATGAGATGCTTGGAGTGATAGCTTCTGCCGCTTAGTAACTTTTTAAGTCGGTGCATCCCTTTCTTGAGTGTTGAATCCACTTCCCATTTTCCATCTTCCCGAAACCAACAAAACCTACTGAATTGATTGAATTTCTGTTTAGGTTATGTTACTTTCTACAGGTGCAAATACTCGAAGATTTTATTATGAAAATTCCTACTTCTTATTTAAGAACTTAAACCAGAATTCATACAGTAGATATACTGCAAACGAATTAGTGTCGATCTATTCACTAGTATCGTCACTGAAGATGGTCTAAATAATTTAATTAATTGTACATCTTATTATCATCTCTCGTCATATATGCATATTCCTTTTTTTTAATAATTTGGCATGGTCATTCAGTCACTGAAGTCTCAACACTCTAGTGTTTGCATGATTTTGCTGAAGATGCTTGTCGTGCTCCAGATCTGCTTCCCGATGGTTGCCAAGCAGATATACTCACCACTTTTCAGTAGTCTGGCCATCCCCAAGTTATCAGATAATTATAGAAGAATACACTTCATGAAATGGCATAGTTGTTTGCTTGTTGTTGTAATTAGTTTCCTACATTGATAGTGCGTCCAGTAGTCCGTTAACCTGTTCATTGGAGAATTTTGTGTATTAATTTGCTCATGGTTTGTTCTGATGCAGTTTGAATTGTGATCATTGAGGTTCTGGTTAAAGAAGCTCCTAGAGTCGATTGGCTGCCCTCCCATAATGGACAAGATACAATCTGATTGCCCTTATCCTGGATGCTTCTTTTGTGTTATGAAGGAGGCAAACCCTAGTAAACGAAGAGCAAGTGTGCTAAAGTTCTTTAGGGAACTTCCTTCCCAAGATGATGATGGTCAAGTTCTCCCTATTAGTGGTCTCTGGAACACGGCGATGGCTCACCCAAATGATCCCGAGTTCATCAACTTGGGCATATTTGAATGCATGGCAGCTCTTATATGGAAAGGGTTGAAAAACAGGCGTTGGCTTGCACATGATCAGAATATTTACATCCCATATTATGCAGCTCACATAATCGGATCATACACAATGAATATGGAGGAGTTTGCAGAGCGTGCTGTTCGTGCTGGTGTAATACCTCCATTAGTCGAACTGTTAAGAGGTAGGCTGACGTGGGTCGAGCAAAGAGTTGCTGTTAGAGCTTTGGGGCATTTGGCTACATATCCTAGTACATTTCCTGCAGTTGCCGATCATGGGGAAGTACTTGAACTTGCCATTCAACTTGCTTCGAGCTCCCTAGAGATTGTGTACTCTCACTTTTACCAGTTTGTGGATCGAAGACTTGGCTACCATTGCGACCTTCTTACTCGTGGCATGGGTGGTGTGGAAATGGAATCCCGCAAAGCTGAGGAATGGGCAAGTCAACTGCAGTGCTGGTCTTTGCAACTCATTAACTGCTTTGCATTTAAGCCTGAATTCCTCCATGATACTTGCAAGCCTGATTTTCTAGTCAAGTTACCTGGAATGTGGGGTGGACTTGTAAATGAGAACTCGCCTGCTGGTGTTGGTTTGCTAAGAACAATCTGCCAGAGCAAAGTTGGCCGAGGTCATGTTGCTAACATTCCTGGTACTATTGATACTTTATGTAACATTGCTCGTTCTTCAGATGACTGGCAATACATGGCAGTTGATTGTCTGATCTGGTTAGTGCAGGATGCAAGTACTTGTCAAAAGGTAAGATCTTGTGAAATGCATTTTGCTTGCTTAAATTGGTTATGTTTAAGGCCTAATAAGGCATGAAATATGCACAGCAGCTTAGAAATGATGACTAGAACAGAATAAAAATAACAGAGTTCCTCATAAACAGTAAATAAGAATATTAATCTAATCTTTGAAACACCAGGTCAGGATAATTAATTCCTCCTAATTGAATGTTTCAAGAGTAATTATTCTATGGTTTCTTGAAATAGCATTGAGCTAAAATGCATACATATGTTGTTTTCTGATTCAATCCCAATTCAGTTAGCGCTATCTGTTAACTGTAGTTTTCTTAGCTCTAGTCGCTTATCTTTTTCCTCCCTTTGTGCAGGTTATAGATAAAGTTGCGCCAACACTGATAGACTTAGCAGATATTTCGACACTGAGTGATTATAAAAAGCTTGGTGACACAATTGTCACAGTCCTCCAAGAATGTATGCAACAGAGTGGGAACTCACGTGGTGCAATCAGTGCTCAGACCAAAGCAGAAATTGATGAGCTTTTGAGATCCAAGAAAAGTTTGAAATTGGAAAAGAGTATGCCAAAGGAGGACCTTCATATAAAACAAGCTGCAGCATTGGTTGTCAAGTTGGAAGGCAATTCACTGTTCTCTGCAGGGAACATTGCAGGAGCTGCGGAGAAATACTCTGAAGCACTTGCGCTATGTCCAATGAAATCTAAGAAAGAGCGGGTGGTTCTTTACAGCAATCGAGCTCAGTGTTACCTTCTCCTGCAGCAGCCATTGGCTGCCATAAGCGATGCTACTCGAGCATTGTGTCTTCATAGCCCTGTGAATCGTCATGCCAAGAGTTTGTGGAGAAGAGCTCAAGCATATGATATGCTTGGTTTTGCAAAAGAGAGCTTGTTGGATGCAATCCTTTTCATAAACGAGTGCTCTCAGTCAAATGATCCTGACTTATCCCTGAAGCAAAACAAAGTTCCTGATTATGCTGAGCGATTGGTGAAGAAGCAGATGCGTGCCGCTTGGCTATTCAGGGAAGCAGCTCTGAAGCATGGGGGTGTCCATTGTGAAGGAGATGCTAGCGATGCGTTTGGTCAAGAGGCTGATGACTCTGAGTGGGAAACAGCTAGTGAAAGCGATGCTGAGAATGATGCCACAGGAGAAGCAGATGATGAAACTGAATGGAAGGACGATGGCCACCAGGAAGATTTCTGTGAGAAAAGCTGAGGAACAGGTCTGGACTGTTTACATGCTGTTATACTAATATTTTCGCAACGAGAAATGCTAGTCTCTTGGAAAAGACAATTCAATCACTAACAGTTTCTTTTCTCTTTGCAAAATCCTTTGCTATTTATATTCCACATTTCCGCATGTAACATTCCTTAGCAATCTATATGTTTGCCTGTACAGGGCAGGCCAAACTTGTATTCAGAGGGAGTCAAATTGAGCAGCTACAGAAGCTGCTGGGCGTTCTGCAGTCAGCACTATCAAGCATCAAATCTTTCTAATGGAACGATCTGGTGACGTTTTTATTTGTCCTCATCAAAGCAAGGCCCAATTAAATTAATTTCCCACGTCTTCTTGCTGGGTCAGTTGAGCTGTGCCTGTGACCATTCAATATTTCCTCTTAGATGTTGGTCCTCGTTTGGTGTTTGTAACATGTTTTTCATCAGTTTGTCAACTATTTGAATGAACAAAACTGTGCATTATTTGTTTTCTTTTTCTTTTCTTTTCTTCTTTTGATTTCTGAAATTTGGTGAAGAGGCCATAATCCTGGCACTCTTCCCTTTCCACTGGACTTATCTGGAATGTGAAGGCCACGTTTCCTTTCTTCAGGGTGTACTTGTTTCTTTTTTGGTATATAACGACTAACAAGTAGGGGGTCGTTAGCTTGGGTCATGCTCTTTCGATGAAATAGTGTGCTGGGCACTTGTTCTGTTGAGCCTTATTGAGGGTGTTGTTGGGGCCAAAATGCCAACAAATGTGTGCCATAGTGTACGAGTGCGTGCGTGTATGTGGTTATTGACATTGGTCCTATTTGGTTTGCTGAAAAGCCATGGCTCCGTTCGTTGATTTCTGCCAATGGGCTGTGGGGACTCCGGCCTCTAGATAATAGCGCCACGTCGAAACAGTAGGCTCGCGCACCAAACGCCTAGACGGCCGTGCCTACGCTCCTTCGCTTTCAGCGGGCTGGAGGCCACCAGCTTCGGCTGCGGCATCCCACGACCCGTCTGCTGCGCTTCTTGTCCTTGGATTCCCAACAAGCTCATCACGGCTTTGCAGCTAGAAGTGTACGCTTGTGCATATCATTTCAAAAGACCTTAGAGAAGTCTCTTTGATTGGGGTACCGTTGGAGTACTGAGTGACAGATCTCAGATGATGAAAGTTCATGGGCTAAAATTGCGAGTTTATTGTCTATCTTCAACCTCCAGTCTCTCAGGGGGGCTCCATGGAACCAGCGGTCGTAGGGGGGGCTTGAGCTCTCCACACTTCCAAACCTAAATCATTTTGCATTTTTAGGGCTAGGTTTGGTTTCTACCTATATATATTAAAATTAGGTATAGTAAAAAACTATATATCGAATGTTTGGATATAGTGTATGTAGTATTAAATATTTTTTAATTCATGTAGATTTTGTCGGTTAATTGCCTTGGATTAACAACAAGCTCATCACGGCTTTGCAGCTAGAATCTTGTGCATATCATTTCAAAAGACCTTAATTTGTCCATGATTTGACAACGTTGGAGTACTACAGTGAAAGATCTCAGATGATGATAGATTAATTAGGCTAAAATTAAAAGTTTATTGTCTCTTCAAATTAGTCTCCATCTATGTAATTATGTTTTATAATTAATTTATATTTAATGGGACTTATTAGGGGACTAAACATTTGATATCAGCGGTCAAATTTTTGAGCGTCACAAAGCTAGAAAACCCACCATCTTTAGCACAACGATCTGAAAAGGTACTCTTACATCTAAAACCATATTGATGAGTGATGAATGTCCCATGGGTCGTGGTAGAAGCATTGAACCAAACAGCGAGGGCAGTGGGAACGATCGGCCACATCACATGTGGGCACAGTAGATCCGTACGTCTCAACATAAATGACAGTCCTGTGACGTACTCTCTCAGTCCCTTTCATGTAAATTTTGTTGGTTATTATTGCCTTTAATTCCCCACAAGCGCATCACATGGCTTTGCAGGTAGAAGGATACGCTAGGTGCATCTCATTTAAAAAAAAAACTCGTCCTAAGTTTGTAAAATAATAGGAGTACTGCATTTGTTTCGTTGTTATTTGATAAAAGTACTCCTAAATCTGAGTGTCTAATTGGCCGTGGCAGTGTGGTAGAAGCTCGTGAACCAAACGTCGAGGGCAGAGGCTGTATAATTAGTTTTATTTTTTATTTATATTTAAGCGACAATGTATCCTGTTCAAAGTGGAGGGATGAGAGCGGAAAAATGTTGAAAAATTTTATAAAATTTTGGAAACTAAACATGCACCAGAAGTACTGCATTTGTAGCACAATGATCTGAAAAAGTATTCCTAAATCTCAGTGTCCCGTTGGCCGTGGCAGTCTGGTAGAAGCATTGAACCAAACAGCGAGGGCAGAGGGCACGGGCGGCCACAGCTCTGGATCCGTACGCCACAAGCGACAACGGAGTCCTGTCACCTACACGTGGAGGGAGGAGAGCGGAGAGAAGCCTGAACCCAGGGCAGTGCAGTAGTGGGCAGTGGGCAGGGCAGCGCCGCGGGCCGCAGCCTTTGCCTCAGTTGCTGTTGCTGCTCGGTGCTCCATGGCCCCATGTCCTCGACCATTGCATTGGTGCATGGCAAGTTGGCAACGGGTGATGCGAACGCTTGGACCATTTGGAGTACGGTCTTGATGAGTGTGTAGCCATGGAGCTCCACTGTGATTAGCTGCTGAGATTACTAATGGACCAGTATGGACAGTCCCAATGGAATATTTAAGGTGTTATTACGTGGTTAGGCGTGTTAGGGGTTACATTGCGAACTCACTCTCCAATCAAAATCTGCCTGCTAAGTGCTAACCCTGCTCGGCCTTAAGCGCAACACAGCACCCCATGCTGCCCCGCACACCCTCCTCTTTCCTCCTTTATATATAGACACAACAGGCGATCTCCCCTTCCAAGGAGTAAAATATCCATCATCACACACAAAAGGATCCGTGGAAGACAGAGGGGTTAAAACCAAGAGGTGAAAAAAAAACAGGCTAGATCGAGCATCCTGCATCCAATCCACAGTAGCTGTAGCTACTAGCTAATCTTACTCTGCTCTGGCCTCTGAGCTTTGGCTTGATGGCCGGGCTGAGCGTTCTCCTGGAGCACCACAGCAAGAGCCACCCCGGGAAGGCGGCGGCGGCGCAGATCATCAGCAAGGCCACCCTCGTGATCCACAGCCCCAAACACAAGCAGCAGCAGGTCCCTGCGACGGCCGCGGGCTCCTTCCTGCAGCGCTGCTGCCTCTGCAACAGAGAGCTCGCCGAGGGCATGGACATCTACATGTACAGGTAGGCTGTGATCCGCGCCGTCTCACGAGCCTTTATTTTGTTTGTACGTGTGTTTGACTGGCTGTGTATGTGATGATGTGCGTGCAACCGTGCATGCAGAGGCGACCGGGCGTTCTGCAGCGAGGAGTGCCGGTGCCGGCAGATCATTATGGACGACGACGCCGGCCATGGCGCGGATGCCGCCACCGTACGCGGCAGGCGGCGAGTCGCCGGCAGCGGCCGTGTCGCCTACTGAACGCGGCCAGGACAACCAGGTTTTCTCCGTGTAGGTGCACCAGATAACCAGATCTTCATGGATGGGAGACGGAGGCAAGGATGGATGAACAGATACAGTGTGGAAGTATCTGACAGCTCATCCCCGTGGGACCCATCGCAGGCACAACAAAGCAGTAGTACGTGCGTGGCATCTGGCTGGACCCACTGGATAAGATGGCCATGACTGACTTGGAGCCGCTCTTGGGCCCCACCTCAGGATCGACCGAGTAGTAAGCGGGACGCCTCTCCCTTTTGTTACGTCTCTCAATGTAGATTGGCTTACACACGCAAAATTAACTGCGTTCGTCAACGGTGGATCAGTGACCGGAGTTGATCCTCTGTGCGTGCATGCGCTGTTCAAGTTTGAGTTTGGCGGTATCTGCGGTGCACATGGAGGGAAATGCTTTTGTATTTTTTTTCTTAGTTCTTTCTTGTATTCAATTTTGTACAATTTCTATCTTGTGCAATAATAATACTGTATCGGTGTTGACATATTTATCTATCTATATCATACGGTGCAAAGTTGAGATTGGCCGCCTTTATTGCTTCCCCCGGTAAGATGATACCTCTCAAGTCTCCGCAGATAAGCTGTGATTAACGTTACTCAGACTGGGTGAATTAACTTTTGCCGTTGGGTAGCTAGTGTTTGGTTACGCAGATTTGCTACAAGCTTACAATCCAAACCGGCTGGCCCTGGTAAGTACTAGCTTTGCTGAAGCCAGTAGCAGCTGCAGAAACATAGGCCTATTCTGGCCCATTAGCCCGAAATGTAAACCAACGGCCCAGAGAACACAATTTAGCTTTGTTTTGGTTGGGGTGCGCCAGGCCCCGCCAACAGTGCAACGGCTGGGCGACGCATGAGGTCCCAGTGGCAAGCCACTGTGGTGGATCCTCCCCCACAAAAAATAAATTTAATATCAAAGTGGACACATGGCCCACATATCAGATATTAAACTGATAAGAACAGATACTACACTTGATCTTAGCCAAAAGGCCGAGAAAGGTATGATTTGCTAAGGTGCCCTGCCCCTTCTTTTATAGCTCCCTCCCTCCGCGCTCCGCTCTCCGTAGCCGATGTGGTACTAAAGCTTTGCCTCATCTCCACCAAACGCAACGGCTGCAGACGGGGTCTGGCAACCTGAGCGAGGAAAGCAAAACCGGGCCGTGTTTTTCTATTGGGCCTCCCGTCGCATCCGGCTCATTGCTCGAACGGGGGAGGAGGCTGTTGACTTGTATGGTGTAGAGTGACGGACGCCGCCGAAGCGCATCGATTCGCCGACCGGCCGTTCCTCTCGTCGCCGCAGAACGCCGCCGGCTGGCCGGCGGGCAGGCTGCTTCGATGGGCTCTCCCACGCGGCCGCGGAGGACGACCGGTTTCACTCTCCTCCTGGTGCTGCTGTTCCTCTCGCCGCTCGCGTCAGCTGGTACGGACAGTCGCCGCTCCTGCGAGTCTAAGATCTCATTTTTAGTTTCTGTGTATTATTGGTTTCGTTAACTTAATCAGTGGAGGGAAGTGTTTTTTCCCTAAGTTTTCGCATGTGGTGCTAGAGATTCTAGTTGCCATGAATGGATCCTTGCTGGTCGTGTATTTGGTCGCCCCAATTGTGTTGGCATGTAGATTTAATTAGTCTTGGAGTAAGAAGTTTAAACTATAGCAAAACGAGGGATGGCAGTTTAGAGATGGCTACCTGTGCGCGCTTTAGACCTTACTTCGAAGTTATTGTTGGCATTTTGCGAGGTTTCATAATTCATAACGCAGAGGACAGGTTTGGAAAGGAACTGTTAGATGAGCTATGATCATATCAAGTGAAAGCTGTACTGTTACAGGCTTCGTTATATACTGTATCAAGTTAAGCTGTGCTGTGGCAGGCTTTGTTTTACCTTACTGTCATATAGTTCAGGTTCTTGATGCTACTGCCGGTTGTTGTAAGATTGATGAGCAATGCAGATTATCTTGGTTATATATGAATATTGTGGTTGCAGATTGAATGATTGTTCCTTGTTAAGATAGATGAGACTTGTAATTTCTCAGTAGATGACTATGGTAGCGATAGTCCATTGATTTATATCACGTACCTTATGTCATCTTTTTCTTCTTCCCCCAGGACAACCAAAAGGTGTATGTGTTTCACCAGGTGGACGGTTCCCTGGCTTTTCATCTGAAGGCAAGCCTCCTGGAAGAGCACCCAAGGGGCACAGAGATCTAGCACTGTGTAGGATATTCCGTCAGAATACATGTTGCGATGTGGCGCAGACATTTCCTGCTCTGGTCTCAGTGAGAAACCTTGCATTGGCTGGTGAAGGCAGTCAAGAATGTATTCATTTGTGGGAATTGCTCGAGTGCTCAATATGTGATCCACGAGTGGGTGTCAGGCCTGGACCTCCTGTTGTATGCGCATCATTCTGTGATATGGTCTTCAAAGCTTGTTCAGAATCATACTTCTCTGTAGATATGAAAACACAGGTAAACCCTCTGATTAAGTGACATAATTGAGACAAGTGGGTACTGATACCTCAAACATGTACTGACCAAGTACAAGTGCTGCTGCTAGATTAAGCTTGATAGTTCCATGGTCAGATTATAATTATACACTAAACAATCATGTTCTGGCCCTTGTCTGTTGTGTACATTCTGAATAGCTGTTGATTCTGCTGAAGTTCCCTTTTCTTGTGCTAAGAGATTTTTAGCTTCTGTTGCTGATCTTTTTTTTGTTGATTATGGTTTCATGGTTTGGTTCTGAATATGCTCCTTACTGGCATGTCAGGCCTTGTCTCCTTGTGGTTTAGGTGACATCATTTGTGGCAAAACACATAAATGGGTCTCTAACGGCACAGAGTTATGCCATCTTGCTGGTTTCACTGTTCAAGTTTCTGAGACCAGCTCTGGTGGAGTTGATGACACTTTCTGCTATGGTGGGAAAGCAAGTTTGGATTCCATCTCTGATTCATGGACTTCTTCAAAAGACCGTCCAACATTAAGTGGTGTGGCTTCATGGGACGTTCAAGATTTTCAGAGATGGGCAAGAGAAATGCCTGTCGGTGAAAGAGTTTCGTGGGCAATTGGAGGAATGGTTCTCACAGCTGGCCTTATTTTTATCAGGTATTGCATATTCCTTTTCTCTTTCACTTTATATATGCATAGATAGGTAAAAACCTAACTCAATTAGGTACTAAAGTATGTGCATAAAATAATTCTTGTAGATCTGAGTATGTTTTATATTTTTGGAATAGATACTGCATAAGCTATTTATAGATGATGGGTCTACAGGAAAAGGAGCAAAAAAAAAACTTTGATTTGTCCCTGTTTCAGTGTAATCTTGCAATTATGTGGCATGATGCCTTAAATTCCTGCTAAGATGGCACATTGGAAGCTTGCACTTCATATCCCTTCTTTTCTGTTGAACTTCACTCTCTCATTTATCTGTGCAGCAAAAGAAAGAGCTACAGCCATCGCCAGAAGCAAGCTGCTATTGCTCGCAATATGAGATTGAGAAGGCTGGATTCTAGAGCCAACCCACAACAAACGAAGCGGAGCTAGGAAGGCATAGGCAACTTAGTATTACTCATAGAAGATTCTTGGACTTGTGGTTCTACTTTTGTGGATCAGTATATAATCAATCAACTGTGAACAATAGAGTGTACTCTTTCCCCTTGGTGCTTAGATACATCAGCTACGACCTCCTTGTCATCCTTCTGTAGAAGAAGAGTTCTATAAGTTGTCACTGAGTATTCCTGCAATGCAGAACTTATGGGCTGTGATGAGCTCATGTACATATTATTTGGAAATGACTTTTTTGCTGCCATTGATATCTAGCGACATGCCTACATGATTTGTGATCTGTGAGTTTATCTAGGACAGTAGAGCATATGTATACGTATATCTATGGAAGACCATTTCTCGCGAAGCATGTCTATTTTGTTAACCAACTTAATCCAAACTCATTATTATATTATAATATATATGCATTTTTCCTTTCCAAGAAAAAGTTTCTAAAAGTAAGAATTGTATGTATCAGAGTGGCTCACAGATTTTTTTTGCCAGCAATCTGGCATGATTTGAAATTGAAAGAAAAAAGGAGCTCTGCTCCAGTCTTAAAAAAAAAACAACTAATCTTGTTCTCTGTTTTGCTATGTGAAGGATGTGCGTTTACACATGAATATTAAGCAATGAAGGTTCCTTCTCAATGGCCAAACCTTTCAATTGACAATGGTAGGACCCCCTCCCATAGAAACGCATTACACATAGAGAAGACTGTCAATAGCTGAATCCAATATTTAGGGAAAGATCAGACTGAAGTTTTTTGTCCCCATTGATGTATCCAAAATAATTGAATGGGAGTGCTTAAAAAGCCATGACATGAGGAATATTTCTATGCTACAAAGCTATGGCTTAGTGCCTACTGCAGATTTAACTGCAAAATGCATGGCTGTGGGCATGTCCAAACAAAAAATTGCATTGCATCACTCATCTGACTGGCTACAAAATTTTGTGAAACTATAAGCCTCCATGAAGGCATGTAACTGCTCTAAACATCAGAATTCTCAACAAGCTGCAAAATTATCGTCTGCTGAACTATTTTCACCAATAATCACCGCAAGAACATGTCCCATCTGTGAAATGATGGAACCGGTTGATATCTCTGATGATAATCTCCCTTGAAACGATCTTTGAAATAAACTTGAATGCAACATGGCAGTCTCTGCATATGCGCAGATTCTTCTTGACTCTGATTGGGGCCCCAGATGGGGTGCTGATCAAGCATAAGCATAACGGCCAGCCTCTCACTGTGGTGAGAAAGAAGCAGCTCCTTTTCACTTCTGTCTACATCGTGCAGATCAACCTCCACATCTGGAACATAACCAGCTTTGTTCATCAGATCTCCCAATTCAGCTAGCTTTCCATATATATCTCTTGTCCTTGGATGGCTCTTGTCGCCAACAATAAAAGTATGCACCTTGTCCTTTATCTCAACCCAGCTCATGGCAGGCTCCTTCTTGACATTACTGTCTTTCATTAACTTCCGCACCTTAGCCATTTCATCCCACATGCCTGCTGAAGCATAAGTGTTTGCAAGCAGGACATGTGTGCCAGACTTCTCAGGCTCTAGGGTGAAGAGCTCCTCAGCTGCCATCCTTCCCAGCTCTGGATCTCGGTGTACTCTTGAGGCTCCTAGAAGTGCGCCCCAAACTGCAGCATTTGCTTGGAATGGCATGTTGTTGACAAGCTCCAGAGCATCCTCTAGTTTCCCTGCACGACCAAGAATATCAATCATGCATGCGTAATGTTCCTCAGTCCTGTCAATTCCAAACGTCTCCTTCATAGATTCAAAGTATTTCTTTGCGTCATCAACAAGCCCGGCATGGTTACAAGCAGAGAGAACACTGGTCAACGTGATGTTGTTTGGGGCAACGCCCTCATCGAGCATTCTATGGAACAATTCCAATGCTCTCTTCCCATGTCCATGTTGTGCAAGCCCTCCAATCATTGCAGACCATGAGACAACTCCCCTCTCCGGCAGGCGAGAGAATGCCATGTCTGCATCCTCTATGCTCCCGCACTTTGCATAAGTGTACACAAGAGCATTCCCTGCAAACACATCTGATGTGAACTGCCTCTTAATCAGATGAGCATGCACTTGCTTCCCTTGTTCATAGGCTGACAGACTAGCACAAGCATTCAGGAGGCTACTTAGTACAAAAGAATCAGGTTCAAGGCCTTTTCTTAACATCTGCACAAACAGCTTTATTGCATCCTCACCATGGTCGCACTGTGAGAGAGCTGTCATCATGGATGTAGAAGATATAATGTCATCAGAACAGCTTTCTTCGAAAACCTTAATTGCATAATCGAGTCGATCACACTTCCAGTATGAATCAATAAGCCCATTGATGACATGAGAGTCAGATAGGAGCCCTATCTTTTCTGCAAGAGCATGAACCTGTCTTGTGTGACAGATTGCTTCCAAGCTAGCTGTTGACTTGAGAACAGCAGCCAGTGTCGTCCTATTGACATCAAGGTCAAGTCCCTCCTTTCTCATCCTGTGAAAGAGTGATAGCACCTCACCATGCCGTCCGTCATGGGAGCAGCCTGAGATCAGTGCATTCCATAAAATCAAATCCCTTCGGGGCATGAAATCAAACACCTTCCTCGCGTCATCCAAGAATCCATCCTTTGCGTACATGTCAACAAGGCCAACAGCGACAAACTCATCAGAATCTGCATCAGCCTTGATCATAAACCCATGGATTTGCTGGCCCAAATTGAATGCACCAACACCAGCACAAGCCTTCAGAACACTAGATAACGTGAACACATTGGGCACCACTCCTAAAGACTTCATCTGTAGTAGCAGCTCCAGTGCACGGTGATCATGCCAATGAGTTACACACCCAGCAATCAAAGCATTCCATGAGACAACGTCTGCTGCAGGCATCTTCTCAAAAACCACCGCTGCCATTTCAATGTCTCCCAGCTTTGAGTACATGTCAACCAGAGCATTTGCTGTGAACACATCCTTGTCATATCCCGTCCTCACCACCATGCCGTGCACCTGCCTCCCAGTCTCCCAATCCCTTGATCCTGTGCACGCGTTCACTACACACGAGAACCCGAACTCGTTCGGCCGCTCCCCACTCCACACCATTTCTCGGAACACCCCGATGGCATCCCTGCACCGGTCGTTCTTGACGTACGCCGATATCATGCCGTTCCAAGAAACGGCGTTCCTCTCGCCTCCAGACTCGTCGAACATCCTCCTGGCCTCGTCCACCATGCCGAACCCGCCATACATGGCCACAAGTGCGTTGGCGACGAAGACGTCCTGGACGAGCCTCGTGGCCACAGCCAGCGCGTGCACCTGCGCGCCGAACCAGACGTCCGGCACGCACTTGAGCACGACGGGGAGCGCAAACTCGTTGCACGGGACGCCGCGCTCGCGCATGGCCCGAAACGCCCAGAGTGCGTCCCGCGGCATGCCGTTGTTGGAGTAGGCGGTGACCAGCGAGGACCAGGAGACGTGGCACGGGTCGGGGATTTCGTCGAACACGGCGCGTGCGGCGCTCGGGAGGCGGCATCTGGAGTAGAAAGAGAGGAGGTGGTTGCTGAAGACGGCGAGAAGGCCGGACTTGAGTAGGTGGGAGTGGAGGTGCGCTCCGGCGAGCAGCGACCGCGACACGCCGAAGCGGGCGAGGGCCGCTCCGATGGTTCCCGGAGTCCGCATCGGTGTGGGTGTGGCATCCTACAACGAGCTGCCGCCTCCCCGGAAGGCGGGAAAGGTTTCAGGTGGGGGATGCGCCAATGCGACGGGCCCACCTGTCAGGTTCTATGAAGGTCGTTGCAGAGGTTGATTGGTTGCTTTGGTGACGGAGAACCGGAAGGAGAGCCGGTCCATGATCGTGAGATGTATGCTCAAACCGTGTACTCAATCGTGTTTGGTTGTTTTTATTGTTGGTCCAGTACAAGATAAGATCTTGTTTAGTTGCATATATGGATGAGAGTTTTAAGTGTACGACACATTGGCCTTTTACCATAGGTGTATCGCGTCATCCTGTATCGTGAGAAAAGTGAGAATCGAGAAGACGTACCCATGCGGGACAGAAGGGTGAAGATGAATAAGACGGAGCATAAAAAAGATGCGAGGCAGGCATCAAATACGTGCAAGTGCACTGAGCGGTGCTGGGATGGGGCTCATGGTGGCCTCCTGCATACAATCAATCACCCTCGTAGCGCATCGAGCATCAGACGGGGCTCAGGGCACCTGGGCACTAGCAGTGGCATGTGAAAATGGTATCTCGATGTGCCAAATCTTTCACAAGAAGTTTCTAAATAACGAAGCGTGTTAGATCATCAGTCAGTCCACTTAAAGAATTAATTATAAGTGCTAATAAAATTGTATAGGCTCATAGGTGTCGACACAGAATTTTGTCCTGTGCCGAGGGCACACGAGCAAGCTGGAAGGGTCCGCTCGATGGAGCTAGAGATCCGCCTAGCTTCAGCGTAGGAATGGTCGATCCTGCGCACTTCTCCCAAGACGTGCCAGTCAATTTGATCCTGCAATTGACAAGGAGAGAAAATTTATCAGTAATTAAGGGCGGAACGTGCCGGTGTTGTCAGACAGTCCCGAATGTGCGGCTCTGAGAGCCGATATGAAAGGAGATCGACTAAATAGTCGATTCCAGCATATTCATAAGAATAAATCAGTTAAAGCTCATAGGGTTGTGTAAGAAGAATCGGTTATTGTTCAGGATAAACATCGTTATTTAGACGCTGGTATTCTTGATCCTTTAACCTTTCATACCTTTCTTTTTCCAGTTGACGCTGGTATTCTTGATCCTTTAACCAACACTGATAATCCTTTTCCTTCTGCCGCTGCCACTTATTCAACAGAATCCGAGATGTAACTCGTGGCCTTGTCGCCCCATCTTTTGACGTTTCCCCCTACTCATATTGACTCTTTTGCTTAGTGCAACGCCTTCTAATCTCTTTGTACTCGTCAGCCGATACTTGTATCTTGGGATCGACTGTTTCAGCTTCTCTTGATTTGGCTGATGTTAGGACCTTAGTCTTTCCTTTGAGTAGCCTAGCATCAACCATGTTTTGATCTTCTGGGAAAAGATTATCATCAACTTTCATTTCCCGAGATGTATCAAATTTGAGCCTTCCTTACTGAATAGCCCTCTGTATCTGTTGCCGGAAGATTCTACATTCATTAGTGGAATGAGAAATAGCGTTATGGAACTTGTAGAACTTCTTATTCTTCAACTGATCAGGGGGCAACATAACATGACCATCGGGCAACTTGATCTGCCTCTTCTCAAGCAAGAAATCGAAGAGCTTGTCTGATTTGGTGACATTCAAGTCATAGCTCTCCTCGACTCCTCTTCCCCAAGGGTTCGGCACCATTACTGTTTTCTTGCCCCAATTCCATTCAGCCGTAGCAACCTGTTCTTCGTCATCTTCGTAGCCGTCATCAACTGAGTATGGATTATAAGCTTCGACCACTGTGGTACTCTTCTGGAATCGGGTATCTCTGCGCATACTTTGGAATTAGCTATTAAGCGCTGCCACTCGTTGAGCCAATTGACCCAAGTTGTCGAATTCTTGTCCCAGCAGCTTTTCTTTCCACATTGGCAGCATTCCTTGAACAGCTAAAGCAGCTAGTTGATCATCAGCCGAGTTTAATGAGAAGCATAAGTTCCTAGTCTCTCGAAACCTCTGAAGAAACTCAGTGCCCGATTCATTAGTCTTTTGTCTTATAGTTGTCAAATCAGTTATCTTCTTTTCCCCAGTCCTAGTGTAAAAATATGTATGAAACTTCTTCTGTAGGTTAGCCCAATTAGCAATGGAATTGACTGGTGGAGATGAAAACCAAGTGAAGGCTGGTCCTGACAGGGGACAAGGAGAAGAAATGAACTCGATGGGCATCCTCAAATGATGCTTTGCCTAATTGTGTAAGATACCGACTAACATGTTCTATCGTGCTTGTACTATCTTGGGCCAGTGAACTTAGCGAACTCTAGGAGCCTGTAATTTATGGGAAGAGCAACCAAATCATACCATTCTGGATATGGGTGCTTGTACGAGAAGATTAGTTCTTTTGGCTTTAGACCGAACTGATTCTTCATTATCTCGGTCACCTTTATCAACAACTCATCAGCATTTGAGTTTGGATTTCTCTGCATCTGCTGACCTATCTGTGGATTGAAATCCCATGTGCCTTGATACCCTGGATTTGAAATCATGTGAAGGGTATTATAATCTGTGCCATAGTGATACCCTTGTGGAACCTCTATCTGATGAGTCCTTTGTTGGCTTGCTGCTTGAAGTCTCTGATTATAGACATAAGGATCTATATATCTACGGATCCTTTGAATTGATGGTGCTATTTTTTGACCTGATGATGGTATGTGGCCTGATGTGCCAAAATTGATCACCTGGTTTTGACTTTGCCCCACCGGCTGTTGCACATGCTGTACTGATGGTCCAGGATTATACTGTATCTGATTCGTAGTAGTTTCTTGAGCTTGTTCAGATGAACCCTGAACTGCATGGACATTATTATTACCAGCTGGTGCTGCTTTTTGATGGCTGGTACCGACTTGATTAGTCCCTTGGGTCGATAGATCTGGAATGTTGTAATAAGCCGGTCCATCTTGACCAACTGGAAAACCATGAATCGTCTCTTTCATGGCGTTGTGGAATGTGTATAAGAAAGCTTCATTACGGCTTGATATGGCATCATGAACAGATTTGTCTACAACTTCCGTAAAGAAATGCATGTCTTCAGCTTCAGTTGTATTTGTCTGCCCGTGTAATAGAACTCTTGGTAGTGGAAATTTCTGAATAATTGTGTTGTCACGTGTTTTGGTGTAGGACAACAAATACTTGTTTTGAAACTCTTATGTAGCTTTGCCGATGACATCTTTATCTCCATCAGGTAGATCTTCATAATGTATCATGAGGATGTTGTTGTTGTTGTGAACCGCCATGACGATTGTGGGGTCCCACTGAGTGTGCTAGAAACATGTGTCGACACGGAATTTCGTCCCGTGTCGAGGGCACACGAGCAAGCTGGAAGGGTCCGCTCGATGGAGCTGAAGATCCACCTAGCTTCAGCGCAGGGATGGTCGATCCTGCGCACTTCTCCCGAGATGTGCCAGTCAATTTGACCCTGCAATTGACAAGGAGAGAAAGTTTATCAGTAATTAAGGGCGGAACATGCCGGTATTGCCAGACAGTCCCGAATGTGAGGCTCTGAGACCCGATATGAAAGGAGATCGACTAAATAGTCGATTCCAGCATATTCATAAGAATGAATCAGTTAAAGCTCATGGGGTTGTGTAAGAAGAATCGGTTATCATTCAGGATGAACATCGTTATTTAGACAAATTTTGGTCAATGGCAATAAGATATTAACAATGATTAGTTTACACTGAGCCAATGACTGCAAGTAACCGAACCCCTTTTATAAAAGAAACAGTTCATCATCATTCAACCATTTGATAGACATAAATCTAGTGAACATATTAGATCTCATCTATCGCTATGACCAGTGGGGCATAAGGCAGAATCATACAGGCCGTAGAAACAACAATAGATTCGACGACCCTAACTTATTACTAATATCAGTGGGGCGTGAGGCAGAATCATGTAGGCCGTAATACAATAATAAGACCATGGGGCTAACACATCTTTTAACCTATCGCTACTTCAATGGTGTCATGACGTGAACTGTTCGTGAAAGCACTCGATATCGGCTAAAACAGTCGATTCAGGCATAGCGCACAGTTAAGATCATGCCCTCTCAAAAACAGATCTACCAAATAACGATCACCACTCCCCACTCCACGGTGCTAACAGTGGGGTGTGAGACAGAATCACACAGACCGTGATAATGGGCCATGGAATGGTTTTCGCTAGCCAATAGATCTACTCAAGATCAGACAAGTCTTAACCACACGCTATGCACGATTAAGATTGATATAAAACAGCCGATAAAACATAACTCATCGTTTAAAGTGCAGATTAGATCAAATTTAGATTAACAAACGATGTGTTAAACAAGATATAAGGCCGATATAGATCAATCTCAATTGGACGAAGTGATATTGCTGTAATTAAATAAATAATGGAAGCAATAAGCAATATCGGTAACTTAATGAATCTATCCGAAGGAACGCCACCCTTAGATAGAGCCAATAACTTGACCTTAATCTAGTTCGAGCAGTGGAGGTCGACCGGATCGATGCAGCCTTACTTGAACTAGACAAGAGTCGATAACTAACTTATACTAGAGTCGTAGTGGAGGTCGACCGGATCGATGCAACCGTATGAACAGAGGTATAAGCCATGATGGTACTTACAGATAAGCAGTGGAGGTCGACCGGATCGATGCAGCCGTACTTGCTGAAGAACTCGTCGAGATCTACTCTACTCCTACTCCTAAGGGGTGGCCGGAGCCAAAAAAGTAAATAACTTATATTAGATTGATTGTGTGTTTTTTACAATAGCCGGGGTTTGATATTTATACTCGGGACCTACGCATGACTCCTATCTAAGCACGACTCACCACAATCTTTGGCCCTAAGAGAAAACATTCCTAATTTAAGATAACTTGGACTCTAATCTTTCCTTTTTTGTAGAGTTCAACATGCTTTGTCCTGGCGCCGATCGTAGCCTTTGTCATTATCTGTTGGCGCTACCTGAAGAAAGCCGATTCTA